TGGATTCAGTTTGCTAATATATTTTTTAAATATTTTATTTATTTATTCGTAAGAGACAGAGAGAGAGAGAGAGGCAGACTCCCCACTGAGTGGGGAGCCCGATGCGGGACTCAATCCCAGAACCCTGGGATCATGACCTGAGCCGAAGGCAGACACTTAACAACTGAGCCACCCAGGCACCCTCAGTTTGCTAATATTTTGTTGAGGATTTTTGCACCTACATATATGAGAGATATTGGCTTGTAGTCCTCTTCTTTTGTGTGTCTTTATCTGGTTGGTTATCAGGGTGATACTGGCCTCATAGAATGGATTTGGAAGTTTTCCTTCCTCTTGTATTTTTTGGAATAGTTTGAGAAGAAGGGGTATTACCTATTCTTTAAATGTTTGGTAGAATTCGCCTGTGAAGCCGTCTGGTCCTGGACTTTTGTTTTTTGGGAGTTTTTTGATTACTGATTCAATTTTATTGCTGGTGATTGGTCTGTTCAAGTTTTCTATTTCTTCCTGCTTTACTTTTGGTAGGTTATAAATTTTTAGGAATTTATCCATTTCTTCTAAGTTGTCTAATCTGTTGGCATATAGGTTTTCATAATATTCTGTTACAATTGTTTGTATTTCTGTGGTGTTGGCTGTTATCTCTTCTCTTCCATTAGTAATTTTTATTCCAAATAAAATTACTTTTTTTTAATGAGTCTGGCTAGAGGTTTATCCATTTTGTTGATCTTTCCGAAGAATCAGCTTCCAGTTTCACTGATCTGTTCTATTGTGGGTTTTTTTTTTTTTAAGTTTCTATATCATTTATTTCTGCTCTAATCTTTATTATTTCCTTCCTTTTGCAGGGCTTGAGTTTTGTTTGCTGTTCTTTTTCTAGCTCCTTTAGGTATAAGTTTAGGTTGTTTGAGATTTTTCTTCCTTCTTGAGGTAGTCCTGTATTGCTATAAACTTCCCTTTTAGAATCACTTTTGTTGCTTCCCGAAGATTTTGGACTGTTCTGTTTTCATTTTCATTTGTTTTCATGTAATTTTTGATTTCTTAAGATTGCAAGTATTTAAAAAAAGACTTTTTGGTATTTCCCATATATAGTTAATATACATCACCTGTATGAGATAGAAAAAAAAGTGTTTGGTTTTCCAATGTCAGTTTATCAATCCCATTCCACCTCATGGGGCTCCCTCCCCTCCCCTCACTTTTGCTCAGTGGGAGGGTTAGTATGGCTAGAAAAAGGGTCTCATAGTCTCCTCTTTGGATTTTCCCTAAAGTTTGTGTGAACTCATTTAACATTTCCCTCCCCAACCCCCTACCCCTTGTGGTACAGCTTCTCCTGGTGCAGGAGAGTAGTGTCCTAAATTCTCAAGTTGGCCCTGCGAGTCTGCAGCCAGAGAGCCTGGTAACATCTGTGGCTTTGAGATGACCAGAGGCAAGGGCACAGCTGTGCGGGTCACGTTGCATTTTTTGCTAGATGTAGGATTCTGGTCCAGCTCCAGTCTGTGTTCTAAACCATACTAGAGATGTCTCTAGGATACGATAAACCCTCCATCAGGGAGACGTTAAGAAACAGATATGGGATGTCCGTAGCGGCAGAGATCTTTGAGGACCCAGGGCAATCTTAGGCTTGAGTGAGTCTGTCCACACTACCATTCTGTCCTGGGTTGTGCTAGTGAACATCTGAGCATCCTGGAAATGTTGGTAGGCTTCGATAGACTCCCTCCTCCAGCTTCTCTCTTCTCAGACTCCTCCCTTTCTCACCTGTAGTTACTTCTCTGTCATTGGAACCAACCTTCAGAAGGATGCAATCTACCTAACACTCTTCCTCCACAAACCTGCCTGAAGCCAAGAGCTTAGCTCAACCCTACTTACTATCCAAATCGTGAGTAACTGCTACGGTGCTGGGTACCAGCTGAGTCTTACAGGTGCATCTTGGCAGATGGAGTCACCTCGCTAGGCATGCTGCATCATCATGTATTTACTAAAAGGGAGGTTTTCAGGCTCCTCTTCTTCTCCTCCGTAATCCTCTAGCAAGGGAGAAAGGAACTAACATTTCCACAATGTCTATAATGGGCGTGGTACTGACTCAGGCGTTGCATTCATTTTATTTAATCTTCATTATAATCCAAGAGACAGGTAGTGTCCTTTTCACTTGAAAGATGAGGAGCCAAGGTCAGAAATTTGTCTAAGTCCTCCCAGCTAGTAAAAAGCAGCTCCTCTGGACTCTTAAGTCCTTGTTCTCATTGTAAGCACCCTGCCTCCCTAGAATTCTCACCTTCAGATGAAACTTGACTTTATTTATAAAATATTTATTTATTTGAGAGAGAGCTCTCGCATAAGCGGGGGTGTGGGGGGGGAAGGGAGGAGCAGGCTCCCCGCTGAGCAGGGAGCCCAATGTGGGGCTCCATCCCAGGACCCCAGGACCATGACCTGAGCCGAAGGCAGACGCTTAACTGAGCCACCCAGGCGCCCCAAAACTTGATTCTTGGTAATCATATTTCTAAAAACTAAAAGATTTGAATGATCAAATATATACTAGGTAAACTTCATCCCAGTCAAAAAGCACCAAAGGTGGTTTATTTTTTTAAAGATTTTATTTATTAATATTTGAGAGTGAGCACGAGCGGGGTGAAGGGGCAGAGGGTGAAGGAGAGGGAGAAGCAGACACCCCGCTGAGCAGGGAGCCCGATGGGGGACTTGATCCCGGGACCCTGGGATCATGACCTGAGCCAAAGGCAGACGCTTAATGGACTGAGCCACCCAGGCGCCAGTTTGTTTTTAAAGTAATCTCTTACCCAATGTGGAGCTCGAACTCATGACTCTCAGATCAGGGGTCGCATGCTCTACTGTGAGTCAGCCAGGCGCCCCTAAGGGTGGTTTTTAAATGACTCTTTTGTTTGTTTGGTCTTGTGTAATTTAGTTACTCTGACACCAACATACCAGATGCAGAACATGTGTTGTGATGACAGCCAGTAAAAGGAGAGAAAAATACTCAAACGATTTAAGGAGTGGCAAGAGTCAAGGACAAAGCCTGATTCTGTGCTGAGCAGGAATTTATTTTTTTTTTTTAAGATTTTATTTTATTTATTTGAGAGAGAGAGAATGAGAGACAGAGAGCACGAGAGGGAAGAG